CGTTTGGCTAAACACGAGGTAACTGCTAGGCACTGTCATGAGGAACTGCATAAACAGTTTCGTCCGTATTCTAAAAAAAACGAGGCTAAGAGGTAAAGGAGGGGAGGGGGGAACTCGAAGTACTGGAGGGTAAAGTTATCCTGTGTGAGTCGTACGATTTTACCCCGTACTACGCTGATTTGCCTAGAACAGGAACTGAACAGTGTTAATAAATTTTTGATTTCATTCAAGTCCCACTTGGGGTAATATTTGCCCTGACGTAAAGTATGTCACTGTTTCAACAAACTTCCCTTCACTGTGAGGTTCACAAAATTGCAGCTTCATGCATTTGTGCTGCTTCCTATCGTTCTGAGCGAACGTTCGAGAACCTACAAATCGCAATCCCAATTTTTTCAGGATTTTTTGTACATATTTTAGCGGCACTGGGCATGTAAGCTTTTCTTATGATTACGACTACGAACACGCTACAGCTTACGCCCCCACGATGAGATTTTTATGTTACTAGACTCACAGTATGGGAAAATCTGCGACAAGAATGTGAAGCATCATAGTTTTTAGCAGGCCCCCTCCCGTCACTTCGTCCCTCTCTCCCGTTGCCTTATGCTCCTTTTAGTTCCCCGTAGTACTTACTGAGTGACAACGCTGTAATACTTGCAAAAAGGGCTGAAATCGGCAATTTTGGTGTAATTCTTGTTTTCAGTTGAAGTGCTTTCGTGTCTTTTTTTTCTCATCTTTTTAGTTGTTAAGTGTTTGCATCTGAACGGTAGTTCCCTTTTTTCTACAGTTTTCTTTTCTGACATTTTATCTTTGTTTTGTGCATGGAGCTGTCAGTCTCTCCTGACAGTTCTTCAGACACTTCCTTCTTTCTTTCCAGGATTTTTGATATTTCTGGAAAAAGCAATCCCAAAAATGTATTTTCTTTTTCTTTTTTTTGAAAGCATTACACGGTCAATTACATATTGTGATGCTACGGTAGAGTCGGAAAGAACAAAGGCGCTGAGGGGAGTCAAGAAAATGATGAGATAAAACGTTTCGTTCCATTTAGGTGTATCATAGCAAATTATGAGCACCGCTGTATTGGTGGTGGACGCTATTTTCACATTATATTCGGCCTTTGCTATTTATACCGAAATGCCCAAGATGCTTAAAAATCCAAAAAACATCTCCCCTGCTGGAAAAAAAGTTTCATTGCCAGTCATGCTAGGGTATCATTTGCTGTAGCAAAGGTGGCTACTTTCGGTTGTTGCTGTATCTCAACAAAGCAAAGGTTACGCGCACCAGATTTCGACTTCGGCAAGGAAAACTCTTGAAACTTTTCGGGAAAAATCTGGTATAATACAGTTTTCCAGCTATGTTTGTGTGTGTGTGTCCAAAGCGCTATTAAATGCCTCTAAACAACTAGTGTTATTATGAAAATTATTGAGAGTGAGCGAAATTTCTTCGCCATTTC